GATGTTCTTTACCAGTCTAACCAGCTGGTTACTTAATGTTGTCTTCATATAGTGTGTAGCACTAAGGTTTAGTTCTTTATTCATCAATCTGGGACTAGTACTATGAAAACTGTTGCTAAGAAGGATAGATTAATGCTGATTGGCTGATGCGACACCTAATGTCCTTCTCCCAGAGTTTGGTTTTAGCCAATCATGACTACAAATAAAATAGCACCAGACTACACGATAAACCACAACAGCAGCCTACACTTGTATGCTCTTGTTGATCCAGTTTCAAAAATGAAACTGTGGTTTCTGATCTAACAGATGTGATAGCAGCAGCTACTTATGCGTCCTCCTGTGCTGCCATGTTTGTTTTGGTTAGGCTGCAGCCATGACTGGAGTGCTGCAAGATGAATTTACATGTGTTTGTGAAATTACTAATATCGCAAGAATCCAGCTTGCCGTCAAAGTTAGAAATTTAGAGGTCTGTAGGCATTGACGCTCAGGTTAACACTTTACTGAGCTTCTGAGAGTGACTCATTTTTCACACATTCGAAGGAGTCTGCATGCCTTCAGGTTTGAGTCTATATAAAAATATATAAAATATAACAAATGTTTATGGGTAATCTAGATGTAGAATTTACATATAATCTAGATAATAACATTTTATTATCTAGATTATATGAACAGAGTTTTGTTTTTTGTAATATTAGTACCACTAGCAGTGGTAAATGCTGAAGTCTGCTGAAACCATAATTTCTATAATAATTGTTGTCTTTAATATAAATGCTTTAAAACATTGAACGTATAACAGTGTTTCACTAATCTCTGCAACAAAGTAGATTGAAAACTATTTTCTAAGGGTTTTTAATTTGAAACATACTGCTGTAAAGAAACAGAACTGATGGAAATATTCTCTGCTTTCTCTCAGGGAAACTGAAGACAACTGATCATTCCTAAATTTTTATAATAATATGAGACACAGGCCTGTCTCTAAATTCACTTGACATGAAACTGTTTGCAACAAAGCTGAGGTCACCAAAACTGCAATTAACAACTGAAGCTGTATCATTCACGTCTGACAGTCATTTCATTTCTTATTTACTTCTTTACTTCACTGTGTGCAATAACACTGTCATGGGCAATAATTGTAATTTGGTGCTGAGCAGCATTCTAAATAATATTGATTGTATATACTGAGATCCTTATTTTATTCCTATATCTTATTTGTTCTAACAATCTTATTTTTCTCTTCTGTAAACAGTTGCACTGCAAGAAAAGAATTTACCACAATGAATTAATAAAATGATTCCAATTTTGATCATCAGATTTGTAGCTTTAAATAACACGTTTACTACCTTAGAGTAATATATTGCTGTAGTCCAATCAACAGGCATCTAACAGGCAGTGTAAACTCCTTCCTGAGCAGTCTGAAGCCAGCCCGGACCAAACACTTAACACCTACCTGCAGGTTCTGATGCAGATGGAAAATATCTGGATTATCTTTGGGAAGGGGGGGCAAATAGAGGCAAGAGAATAGAAACAAAGAAGAGTTTGTTCCAATATCTATAGCAGCTCAAAAGGTTTTTACCAACTGCAGAAAATCTGATTTCTGTTCCTTTGACTGGATAAGATCTTTTTTAGGCTGTAATGAGGCACTATTTCTGTGTCCGTGTTTGTTTTATGTAAAACACCCTAAATTAAGTAAAGATTTAACTCATACAATAGATATGTTGGTATTAAGTATTTAGCAAATTACCATATTTAGGGAGCATTAGGCCCCATTAAATCATATTATCAGTTTGTGATGATTGTTCATCAACATTGGCCCACTTGGTTGGTAGTTTGTGGAAAAGTGCAAAAATCAATTCAAAAGATGACTCTGAGAAGGATGGTTTTCAGTGTGAACAATTACGGAGTGAAAAAGACTCAAAAGTCAGTTAGAAATGATATTAGTGGAGGTTGTGAAATAAAATCCAAATCTACATGTCCCCTGTGTGAAAAATGATTCTCCCTAAACCAATACTTTTCTGGGTCCCCCTTAGCAACAACATCTGCAATGCAACTCCTGGCAATTAATCTTTTACAACTCTGCACAGGAATTTACTCATTTTTGAAGGGTTTTCACAGATGGGTCACACTTTAGGTTATGTAATAGCAGACTTTTTGTTTTGTCTCACAAAACTGAGCAGAATCTATGAGGATTACCCATAACTTTAGGCATGGTTTAGATGAATAATGGAAGTTAAAGATTAAACGACTTGATATGCACGATAAAGGTCTTTAAGATCTTGAACAGATGGCTCCATAATCCCCCTCAGATGGACAACATAATCCAAGGTTCCATTTACCGGTACCATCTTTCCGGTTCGGAGGCAGCTTCAGAAAATCACACCACCGTGTTACTTGTTCCACGTTCTTGTATTTGTAGATAAAGGCTCTGCTTGTGTTGCTCTGCCGTCCCAAACCTTTAGAAGTGACTTGCCAACCTTTTCTAGACTGATAGCTTTAAATTCCTTCCTGAATTTCAATGGAAGGCGGGGTGAAGTTGGACATTCTGGGATACTTTACTTTACTTATTTATTGGGGCTATTTTTTAGGACGCATTGTGTGTCACTCATTTGTATCTTTACTTCCAAGTCTTTTTACCTCTAAAATATGAGTGTTCTGTTCAACCTCTACTGTATGGTCTAGATGACATAAGGAGACTATATTCCCTCCGTTTTAGTAAACAAAGAATTATTCTTTTTAAATCCAGAAGTTCAAACTTTGTTCCTTATTTCAATCTTTCCTCTTTGGCCCCACATTAAAAAAAAAAACAGCCTCCCCAATTTAAAGGAAATTTTTGCACACAAGTTCACGACTACAGCTGGTACAGAATGCAGCAGCAGGATTTTTTTTAAGTGTCCCTAACTGGCCCTAAAATTTTCTTTATTTCAAAATGGGCCGGCCCCTTCCTATTTATCTGAGCTGCCCCACCCCTGCATACCTTTTCATACGAGGATCAGTAGAGAACATGCCTCTATTTGCCTTAAAGTCTCTTTATTAATCCAGAGCTTTTGCATTTCTGCCTCCTAAATTGTGGAACAAAATGCCCCTAGTGGTCAGGGAGGTTCCACCTTTTGATTTTTTCAAAACTTGTTCAGAATATATTTTCTTCTTGACTTTTAACCCGAAGTGAGTTTTTATCTGTTTCAATTGTACTTTTTTCCTATTTTGTTTAAAGTGCATTTTTATATGTATATACACATACAGTACATGTGTTTTGTTCAGCACTTGAGTCTGGTCTTCTGATATTTTTAAGGTGCTCTAGAAATAAAATGGTATGGTCTACTCCCCTTTGCCAGGAACATCCTATTAAAGTTTTGATAAGGAACAGAGGAGGACTTTATCAAGAACTGAACTCGGCCTTCTGAAGATGAGCCATATGAACACCGTCTAACATTTATTTCTACATCAGTTTTTTTCCCAAAACCAAATAGACTTCTCAGATTTTTTTTCAATTCAGAATCAGATTAAGTTAGTTTAAAGTTGAATTAAAGAATTTCTAAACATCTTTACTAGAGACATTTTTTTTTCTTTCAGCTTTGCTAGGATGAAAGACCACTATAACTGTGTTCAAGGTGCTCAATAATAAAATACTTTTTTTTCTGAACTCAACTTTCTCAGCACAAATCATTTCCCAGTTAAATTTCCAAACATTCAAAACGTGATCTGTTCATAATTTGAGCAACAAACTTTAGTTTCTTAAAATAACTGTTCAAAACAAAGGCACTAAAAGTGTAACCGAAAAAATACTTCTGGTTCAATTCTAGTGACGGATTCGCAGGAAGTGGCATGATGTGTGGGAGACTGTTAAGGATTAAGGGTGGAAAATATCTTTGATGATGGTGTAAGGAGTGATACACAGCATACAGTTATGCAGTGGATGTTGATGAAAAACAGAGACAATGACAAAAGAAAAAAAATGATTAAACTAAAGAAAAAAAACAAAACAAAATATTCTTTACAATTTATTTAACACTTATGACACATCTGGAAAATGATCCCTTACAGAAACTCAAAACAATGTAAAGTGCATCTGGAAAGTATTCAAAGCTCTTTAGTGTTTTCACATTTTTAATGACGTTTCTCACTTTTCGCATATATTTGCAAATATTTAAAAATGAAATTTTTACATTGTTTTCTTTTGTGGGGGAAAATAAATGTAATCTGTTTTGGGTTAGGCTATAATATAGCTATACAATAAATGCTGTGAATACTTTCCAGCTGCACAAAACAAAAAATAAAAAGCAGTTATTCTTAGATATTTGAGATTCAACTTGATTGGAGGATATATCAAGTCCCTAAATTAAACAAAAGGGAACATTTCATTGAAAGATTTATCAAAATGGATTATGTTTAAGCTGTTCCCTCATACGGTTGAGGGACAAAAATGGCTGTTAAGGTCAGAGCCTTAAAGGTGACAAGAGCTCCAGAAGGAATATCTTTGCTTTTATAGTTTCTTTCTGTACCTAATAAACATCAAATATCTTCGTATCAAGATTTTGTTCGGACGTTTTATTAGATTAATGCCCTTTGTTCTGCCCACAGAAAAATAAATACCACAAAAACAACCTGCTGATTTATCTAAAACTCAAGTGTGTCAAACTTACAGGAATCTTAAAGGACGGTTTGTATCTTGGGTTCAATCTCCCCAAATCAACACGCTGAGACATACAAATTTTTTCATACAAAGCTAACCAGTGCACGTTTTAAGTCAGTCGGTAACTTTAGCTTCCATCTTAGACGGGAAGTAAAAGGTGGTGATGTGACCAATGATTCTGGATTGGATTCTCAGATAGATTGGATTTGAACCTGCTGCTAGAGCGCCTTCTATCCATCAACTGCACCCAACTTACAGAACTCCTAAAGTGAACCGCAGCAAAACAAAACAAAAAAACTGCATTTCAAAAAGGTACCAATGGTGAACAGGGAATTCTGTTCTTTTCCTGCTGAACAACTTCAAAGCATCTTTGTTTTTTTTTTGTTTTTTTATTCAACCAGAGAGGCTTCCAGGCTGTGTGGCGAGAGTATTCGTATGCTTGTTTGGTTGGTCAGGTTCTTATAACTGTACGGCTGAAATCCAATCCTCATAACCAATGTTATAGTTAATACAATGCCATTGATCATTTTTACACAAAATGGTCTTAATGTACATGAGAAAAGGTCAGAAAGGTTTTTACCCCTCAGCTATCAGTGTAACTGGTCCCAGACGAAGCTTAGCCTCACTCTGTTTCTGCGACGCCCGACAGAGGAGGAACAAGCTCTTAATCATCCACCTGGACGACTAAAGAGTCCAGGAGCGGATTAAAGGCGGCGGCGATGACTCTTGTCTTATGCCGCTCTGTCGTTTTTAGTTACCCTGAGCATCTCTGCTGGATACAGCAGATGAATCCCAATATCAGCTCAAAAATCTTTCCTGTGAGAAGGAATTCAGAAATCCATCACCTTATGGGTTCCTTCTGTTGAAGTAAAACTTTAAAAAGAAGCAGAATAAAGGTCTACTTCAGTTCAAATTAGTTCTCATACATCCTAAACGATAATAATCAATATATTACATAAAAGCTGAATTTCCTCTAACCTTTGTTCCATCTTGTAAAATTTACAGACTTTTTAAACCTGCTGTTTTATTAGTAGTACATTTTATATAAATTTAAAAACAAGTCTTATTTATCGTATTTTCCCTGATAAAGAGAAAGTGATTGATTCAGTGTAACATTTACTTGTAGCTCACATCACAAGACGACAAATTAAACTTCCAAGCTGTTTGTAGAACTTGCAGACGCGTATATACTTTTCCCTAACAACATTCTGAAGGAAAAAAAAGTGACTTTTCTACACTTTGGCCGGTTAAAAACCTCAAGCTTGTATGCAATAGACATTTAGATAGAGAGTTAGGAACTCAGCAGATGGATCGAGGATTTAATATAACACAGTTTGAACATCTTACAGAGTAATGTTCAATCCATCATCTAAGCTAGGATAAAAATTGCCTGTTCTGGCCATTAACTACCGCTGTGCATCACCCTGGATTCAAAGTCACAGGGTGAAGCACAGGATGGGTGGCATGGTGCTGTGGGGGAAACCTATCTTAGGCATGGAGAGGAACACTAAAAGGATATAAACAAAGGGCAGTCCTAGTAAAGGACCTGTTATAAGACATGGATGAAAATTCCCCTTTGTGCAGGAAAGGTGTCCTAAATATAAAGAGAGTTTTTCTATGCAACCTGAAGCAAAAATCCAAGAGAGTCTGTAGCAAGACTTGTGTATACACTATGTATACAAAATGACAATAAAGGTTGTTGTCTAAGACTAAAAGAAAAAAAACTCTCTTCAGACTCTCCATTCAGTCTGACTGAGCTTGAGCTGCTTTGCACAGATACAATAGTACTTGTAAAGCGCAAAGTTGGTAGAGACATAATCATGACTAAAAGCTGACATATTTGCATCACTTTTGCTCTCAAGAATACATTTCCATGGTGTTAGTCTGCACAGCATTGAGTCTGTCCTCCGAAATGAAAAAGATATTAAAAAAATGTGGAATATTTACTTGGATATGACTATTTTTCAAGGCGCTATACATGAAAGTATCATTATTTCCTTAGAAAAAATAAAAACGACTGTTTACAATCAAACACATTCAGCGCTGAAGTGCAAAATGTTTTTACCTGTTTGAGGTAAAACGCTAAACAATCTGATCTACTTTTATATTCAGCTTTATCATCACCAAAAAAAAAAAATTTTCTTCTTAAATTCTAAAAAATATATATATATATATATATATATATATACAAATAGTACATAAACCAGTGTAGTATTTGTGTCGCAAGAAGATCACTTAGGAGCCATTTCTACCACAATTCTAACAGAACTCCTAAGGATAAAAAATTCAAAGCATCAAAGCTTCATCTCCTCCCTCTTCCAGAACAAACATCCACTTTTCTGTTTTAGAAAACTAGGGCAAATATTCGGTTAATGGCACATTTGTTTTTTAGAACTATAGCCTTACTTCATACACATTAACCTATCTGGGTTTTTTGGTTGTTTAGTTTTGCAGTAACCACAGTTCCTGGTACTGCACAATACAAAAATGTTGGGTTCTTACAAAGAGGTAAGAGTGCAAACAAAAACTCCAATCAATCAAGCTTAAACTGATGGTGCTATTGCAGAGGAGTGCCTTAACTTGTAAAGAATACGAGGGGGGAACAGGTATGGGTGTTGCTTTGGCAAAAAAAAAAAAATAGAAAAGAGGACTACAAGCAGGGCAACAAACGATGCCCTGAAAAAATTACAGGGACACAGCTGGGCATCGGTCAGTAGGACATTCCAAGAGAATTTCACACTAAAATTCCATCTAATTTTATCAAAGAACATTTCCATGACTGCTCCTGAAACAACAGATGGATATATAGATATACATGTATTTATTTTTTTTAAAAGGCAATTTTTTTCGTTGCAATAGGTAATATTTTTTTACATGTCCAAATTATCTTTCTTGCAAGTGAAGGATAATGTAATTACCCCCCTTTTTCAGCCATCTGACAAGCAGTGCTTAGCAACAGGTGTGTCAGAGGCCTTTCTGAATCCCTATACGCTCAATAGAGCTGGAGAAAACTCCAGTCGCATAAACATTAACAGAACTCTAAAGCACAGGAACAGTTTGATGCCGCCGTTCTTTTGTAGCCGTCCCCATTTGGAACATTGGAAAACCGTGATGCATGGTAACCGGTCCAGGTCTAGAGTGTGAAGCGCCAACACAGCCTCCAAACTGCAAACTCAAAGAACCCACGTTTATTCTCAAGCAAGTTTAAGCTGCTTTAGAGGTATAAATGTTGAAGCGGATTTAGGTTTATCAATTCAAGTGTTAAAAATAAAATAAGTTAAATCTGTTCTTGAACAAACCAAACACTACTATCCATGTAGCTCCATTAATTATGAAACAATCTATATCTGCTTTATTTTCAGAATAAACTGATCTGAAGACTATCTTGATTCAAAATCTCTTTTTTGAATCCAATCATGTCTTCGGTAGCAGATAGTTACAAATTTCGCGGCCAGAAAACAAACAAGAACAAAACCAAATGAGGAAAAAACAGAAAGACCTCCGATAGTGGTGGATGGAGCATGAAGAAGAAGAAAAAAAGAAATCTGGATGGAATGACAATGATGAAGATTATGTTGTCTTGTTTGTAAGTCCAGAAATGATATAATTTCTTTCAGATGACATGAATGAAATGAAAGGCAAAGACATTTCACCCCAAACATTATCTAATATATCCCCTAATACATGATTTTTGATCTGATTTCTCCTTAGAGCTTCCAGCTGCTAGAGCCAACTTGGCTCCATTTATATTAATAAATTAGATAAAATTAAACTCAAGTATCCACATAATACATAAGCTTACTCCAAAAAAGTGTTACATAACAGCTTTCAAATGATTTCGGTGCATCAGGGGGGAGTAGGCCCTCTTTTTGGTATTTTTTGTTCACCAGTTATTTCCGCAAGGCAACTGTTACCTTGTTGTTCTCCCTTGACTTGTTTGACGTAATCTGAGAGCCAATACCAGATTAAACTACCCTGTGGTGGTTTTCTACAAGTGCTCTCTGTGTCTTTAAGTGCAGAGCAGTTAGCTGTTGAGTTTGGCTGCCTGCTCCTTCTCAGCTTTCTCTTTGGCCTTCTCCTTCTCTATCAGCCTCTCCTCTTTCTGCAGCATCACCATGATGTCCGCTACTTGGGAGGTAGAGATGTCGATGTCCTCCTTGTCAATCAGTTCCACCACCTGAACAAAACGTGGCAAAGAAAAAAAAATCTGTTAGACAATGAAGCATTTCTTTTCATTATTTAAGAGTTTAAAGACACATTGTGCCTGTAGATAGGTTGTTTTGTTCTGACTTTGTATTTGTCTGATCCAACACAATCTTATTATGCTTTCATAAGCCGTAACTAACAAAAATTTGATAACAGCAATAAAGCCTTGTGGAATCATGATTTTATATTCACTTTCTCTGAAATTTGTTAGAGATATTTCAAACCAGAGAAGCTAAAAACTGAAGTTGCTCATACAGTGTTTCATTAATCCATTTAATCAATGAAACTGAAGTCGTTTCTGTACTGTAAAATAATAACTTCTGAGTCTGAGCAACTTGGAAGAAGCTGCTAAATGTGAAAGAGACCATCCGACATCTCGATCCAAACACCTCAAATCTGTATGGACATCCAAGCTATGGTGGAACTGCCATAATTAGTGCTGGTAGTTAGAAAGGAGCTAGGACCAGGAACATAGATATTCATGTGAGACACTAGCTTAACGAGAAAAAGTGGTAAATGTTTTAACTGCACTAAATGCCGATACCGAAAAGCAACTGATAAGCTCCTAAAAGCAAAGCTTTATCCAGAGCTGAACTTTCATAGTTCTGTCAGTATTAGAAATTAAACTCCATCTTCATTTTACGGCAAATGTAAAACTCTTACAGGAAGTAT